GATGCGTGGAGGAGCACCACCGCCACCACCTCCTCCAATGCGTGGAGGAGCACCACCGCCACCTCCGCCTCCTGGTAGTAGAGGTCCTGGGGGACCGCCACCTCCACCACCTCCTGGTGGTCGTGCTCCTGGTCCACCTCCGCCTCCTGGACCAAGACCTCCAGGTGGTGGACCTCCTCCGCCTCCTGGACCAAGACCTCCCGGTGGTGGACCACCTGATCTTAAGGGTGCAGGAAGAGGGCGTGGTCTTCCACGTCCAGGTTTGGGGTCTTCAGCTCAGAAAAAGTCTTCTCTGAAGCCTTTACACTGGGTTAAAGTAACAAGGGCATTGCAGGGAAGCTTATGGGACGAGTTACAGAGACATGGAGAAGGACAAACGTATTGGTCTAACTTTATCTTTGCAGTCCTCTTTCTTTTATGTTTCCAGGAAAACAAATTCTAAGTTATTGGGGTTTATTGACTATTGGTTTGCAATTAATCATCATTTTTTTTGTTCCCTGCTAGTGCACCAGAATTTGATGTATCAGAAATAGAGACCCTTTTCTCTGCTACAGTGCAAAAACCGGTAGATAAATCTGGAGGCCGAAGAAAATCGGTTGGGGCAAAGCCTGAAAAAGTTCAACTGGTAATGTGAAATATTCTAAAGACTTGATTATTGCCAGATATTCTAACTTGGTCTTTTCTGGTGGAGACTTTGGTCATATAGTTATAAACAAGTGACAACATGCTGTGATTTGCGTGGAATCTGAGTACTACACGCATCTCTGTAAAAGATATAAAAAATTGTACTAAGAGGATCTCTATAAGCTTATTGCATGTCTGTTCGCTTTCGTGATCAAATATTTCACACTGTTTGATGTAATGTTTTTCTTATGGTTTTCCAGATCGACCTTAGGAGAGCCAATAACACGGAAATTATGCTTACGAAAGTAAAGATGCCGCTGCCTGATATGATGGTAAGCTTCAAAATCTACTTTACTTGAGTACAAGTCATTACTAGTTAATATCTTATAGCTCAATGATAATTGTTTGCAATTTTCTTTGCATCGTCTAGGCTGCAGTTCTGGCAATGGATGACACTGTACTAGATATTGATCAAATAGAGAATCTTATAAAGTTCTGTCCAACCAAGGAAGAGATGGAACTTCTTAAGGTTAACTCTTTTCTTTTGAGTAGCCTTATGTACTTGTCTCTTTTATTTGGATGTCTTTTGTGAAATAAGTCATTTCTCTTGGTTACTACTATTCACTTTTTTATTGACACGAATCCTTGTTCTTGGTTGTAATTGACTGGTTTTCTGTAGAACTACACTGGTGACAAGGCGACCTTGGGAAAGTGTGAGCAGGTCTGTTTAAGTCTTGAGATTACTAATCTCACACTGTTTTTGGTTCTTACTATTAAATAGTTTAAATATTTGCTTATTTAATGCTTTTTCCTCATCTATTTTTTTACCTCAGTACTTCCTAGAGCTAATGAAGGTGCCACGAGTAGAATCGAAACTGAGAGTATTTTCCTTCAAGATTCAATTCGGCACTCAGGTCCGGTGGTATTACTGTAATTTTCTATTTATCTGATTCTTTGGAGGAAAAAGTTTTGGTTTCATCAGTGTCTAAGTAACAGTAGATCCATGGTCCTTTTGTTAATGATGATTACTGTGCAGATAACAGAATTCAAAAAAAGTTTAAATGCGGTAAATTCTGCGTGTGAGGAGGTTAGATACTTGCAAATTTTACTTTAATTTTGTGTAGTCCGTTTTAATTTCTCTTTCTTACACATTTTCTCCTCGTTGGTTGTTTATCAGGTCCGTAGTTCACAAAAGCTCAAAGAAATCATGAAAAAGATTCTTTACCTGGGGAATACATTGAACCAAGGAACTGCGAGGGGTAAGTATAATATTATTCTTGTTCGACATTTTTTTCTTGAAACTTTTCCTTACGCAACACAATAAAATTTCTCTGCTCAATTTTGGCTTGATCCAAGAATGGCGCCTTTGTTTTGTCTGAACACAAATCCTTTGTAGGTTGATAAGAACCTTGTTCTTGTTTCTGCAGGCGCTGCAGTGGGATTCAAGTTGGACAGTTTATTAAAATTAAGCGATACACGTGCTGCTAACAGCAAGATGACTCTCATGCATTATCTTTGCAAGGTAACCTACAATTGCAAAAAACAGCCTCTAGGCTCTGTCAAAAGTTGGTTTAGAAAACGGTCTGGATCAGGAGGGATACATAATCCTGAAATTCTCTTCTTTCGTTTCTCCAGGTCCTTGCTTCCAAGGCATCGGTTCTACTGGACTTCCACAAGGATCTTGAAAGTCTTGAATCAGCGTCAAAGGTTTGCGTTTGTGCCTTTTCTGTCCTTTATTCATTACTTGTATTTTCTCCATCAATTAATTTTCCTGTCAATTCAGATACAATTGAAGTCACTGGCTGAAGAAATGCAAGCTATAATCAAAGGATTGGAAAAACTGAACCAGGAGCTCACTGCATCCGAAAGTGATGGTCCTGTTTCTGATATTTTCCGTAAAGTATGTTGATTTTTTTATGCATTTTTTATCAATGGTGAATTTGATAAAGCCTAATTTTTTTTAGACATCACTACCTCCCGATCCTAAAGCCTAGTATTTTTTTGTTTTTGGTAACAGACATTGAAGGACTTCATATCCATTGCTGAGACTGAAGTGGCAACTGTATCGAGTCTTTACAGTGTCGTGGTAATTTTTCAAACTCTACTAGATTTCAAGCTCCTTACGTTTAACATGTGTTTGATCCTAAAATGGTATTTTTTTCTTTCTCTTTTTAATGATGGACAGGGAAATAATGCTGATGCACTAGCGTACTATTTTGGCGAGGATCCCAAACGTTGTCCATTTGAACAAGGTTTGCCGCGGAAAGATAAACTTCATTATTTTGTTCAATACATTAGAAAGTCGTTCATTGTTATAACATATCTAATAACAATACCGGGTGATCAATTGCTGCAGTTACTGCGACCCTCTTGAATTTTATAAGGTTGTTTAAGAAAGCACACGAAGAGAATATCAAGCAAGCGGAGTTGGAGAAGAAGAAAGCCGCAAAGGAAGCGGAAATGGAGAAGGCGAAAGGAGTCAGTCTCACAAAAAAAGCAGTTGATGATAGCTGACCCAAAGCCTTAAACAATATGTTGCCAAAATCCGCCTTAATCTCTCAAGCGAACCAATGTGGTTTTGGTATGCCAGCGGAGACGGTGCTGTTCAAGTAGCATTATCCGCAAAGCGGCACAGGGCGGTACACTACAGGCTCGGGTCCTAATGGGATCGATTAGCCTGGGAGGGCTATCGAGGAGGAACCATCAAAAGATAAGAGACAGATCTTTTCTCCAATCACGTACGTTTACATGACTGACTCCACACTGATTCATTCTAACTTGTAAATTAGGATTCTTTCATGTTTCTTCTTTTTCCCTGATTAGAGGAATTTTTGATAGATTGAAATGTTGTATAGGTTTCAGGTGTAGAGAGAAAGAGAGAGAAATGTAGAGCATTTTGTCCATATAGTGTGTAACTTTGTATCGTTCCACAATATTAATGTTTCTTTTTAGGATTCAGACGAATTTCCGATTCGTTTTTCCCAAGTACCTGTAAGAAACGCCATGGTTATCAACACGAGATGATGATATCTGACTAATTTTTGTTTTTTTTTTCAGTAGTAATCATCGGAAAATCAAGAACTGTCTGTTATCTAACTTAGTTGTCATTGCCTATTACTACTTTTGTTTTTCGAATTAAGTTTTTCTGAATGATAAAAACAAAATTTCACAGTATTTAGCACAAAAAAAGAAAAAAAACAAACATAAAAGCAGTGTTATGCGCGAGGAAGAAAATAAGACGGCACGTGTGAAGGTGATGACCAAATTTTCTAAAACAAATAAATGAAAACTAAAACAAACGCAACAAATTTCGTTTTCTTGGATCCATCCCCAATGTCTTCTTCTTCTTCTTCCACTCTTCCTTTCTCAGAAACTAACCCTAGAATAGTGACTCAAATTCTCCGCGAACCCAACTTAAAATGGCCGAAGATGACCTTGTATACTGTGAACAACAGCTGATTGGGTCCTTGGATCCCAGTTCGTCAATGGTTGTCATCAGAGAATCGCCAATTTTCGCCAAGAACGATCTTATTGTTTTCCCGCCGATTAACCACGAGAATCTCCAGGTCGTGTCTTCCATCTATGGAGTCGATAGGTACCTCGAATCGCCGTCGGAGTCCTCCCTTTCATCTTCGTCGAGACGCTCTGGTTCATTTTCGTCTTTTTCCCTGTTTCCGTCTGATTCAGACGGACAATTAGACCCGAAGTCTCCATCGGAAACTGAAGGCAAATCTCCGCCGTCACTAGGCGGCGAATCTCCACCGTCAGATTCAGATGGACATTCGCTATTGACGGTATGCCAATTTGACCGGGAATCTCCGCGATCGCCTTCTGAACAATGCGGCAAATCTCCACCGTCCGATTCAGACGTGAAGAAATCTCCGTGGGAACCGTTGTACCGTGAAGCTGATGTTTCCCAAGTTTGGTGGGAGCTTCTTCTCGTACGTGTATACTCTAAGTTGAAGAATTTAGTGACCTGGTTCTCAACGACTCTCCGATCACTTTATCCAGTCCTTGCCTTTGCGATTTGGTGGTGGATGCGTGTACGAGCTCGTCGGAGACGTGTCAAAGTAGAAACAACAGGTCGTCTTCAAGATGCGATCAAAGAGAGAGACGAGGTATTAAGTCGGATTCCATTTTTTTTTTTTTGTGTGTTTTGTATACAAAGTGTTCGATGAAATGTCTAAGAGACTCATATGAATATTTACCTTGACATGGTTACTTACATCTCTTGTTTTCTCGTTTTGCACAGAAAATAGTTCAGCTTTTGCAACAGATTGCTCAAATGAACGAGTTACTGGTAAAACACCACAAGGACATCGTATCAAGAAGATGATTCATCACAAAATTCATACTCTTTAGCTTTACTGATTCTTTTGTTTCTTGTTTATATTCTTTTGCAAGTCATGTAAAATTCTTACATTTCAAATTTCTCGAATTGAGGAAACAAGTAAACTTTTCCCAATTCTAACCAAAATCCTACGAGTCCAGAATCACTCCATGAGCTAAGGGTTCTTCGACATTAAACACTGTAAAAGCAGATATTTGCAAAGTAAGGTTTTTGAACAAACTGATACTTTTCATCCTTTGTTCAAGTTTAGCAAAAGAATCCATCGACTTATAATGAGACGGAAACAAAAAGATAAAGAACCGAGCTTTGAAACAATTGTGGAGCTATAATCATCATATGAAGATTTTTGTTCAGCTAAGTAACCGATTGTGCTTGACCTAATCGGCTGCTAGCTCCGGGCTTCAACTTTGATCGGTGTTGTTCTCCGAATATCAAACCTGTTTACATATTTCAATGGAAATGTTGTCTCGTTCCTGATCCTCTTGATCTTAGGGCTTAACAATCCCCTGTGACCAAATCCATAAAGCCTGAGCACTTGATTATCCGCAAAGTTGTATGCTCTCTCCATACTCTTCAAGCAACGTTCAACTGCGTAATCCGCATAACTCCCACACGGTTTGCATCCGACAAAGTGAGTAACAAAGGGCCATCTTTCATCTCCCAATCCCGGATGGTACTTGTCTATCATCTCCTCGTACTTGTCCACTAATCCTTCCCAAAACCCATGAAGATAGTACTGATTCTCCACATAGACTTTCTCCATCCACTTTTCCTTCTGTGAAAGCAGCAGATAGATCAATGCAGACTGATCGTCAGCTTCAAACGCCGGTCTTCCCTTGAGATTCGCAGTGAGAATCTTCCCGGCTTCTTCCCTGATCGGTCCTTTTGGTCCCATTGGAGCCCAAGCATCCAACAGATCCAAAGACCATTGACAGTTCCTAAACAAGAAGCTACCAGTGTTCAAAGCAATCCAAGACTTCTGCTCGAACAGCAAATCCGGGTACCCGTGAATAACCAAGTTATGATTCTCGTACTTAGACAGAGGAATCTCGAACACCATGTCTGTGAACAAAGCATCACTGTCCATCCACCAAATCCACTCGATTTCAGGGTGAGACAACATCAATCTCCTGAGCATTGGGAGCTTAGCCCAATACCCAGCAAGCTCCTTGTCCAAATGAGCCATGTTATACACAATCTCGATCCCGTGAATCCTACAATAGTCAATCTTGTTCTTCACCGATTTCAATAGGTAATGATCACCAATTGGATTGTCACAAGGTTTCGGAGGCGAACCTGTTAGAAGCAAAACTCTAGCTTTCCCATTGACGAAACTGGGAAAATCTGGGTTCTGCGTTAACCACATTTCACGTTGTTGGTCCCAGTTAGTGATCTTGGGTCCGAGAGTGTACGTCATGTTGAGCTCAAGATCCGAATCAGGAGGCTCGTTCGGGTCGGTAGGATCCGAATCGGATCGGATCTCGGCTAGAAGACGGTTAGTCTCTTCGATTAAGTTCTGGTTAACGGTGTCGGCGTCGGAGGCTCTGAGGTTAACGCCGATTGTGCCACGGAGGACGAGTATGGTGACGAAGCCGCAGAGGATAGTCATCTTCACGTTGTTGAACGTCTTCTGGATCTGTCTACCACGTGGTTGTCTCCTTCCTCCGCTACTCGCCATCGTCGTCGGAAGAACGCCGGCGGCGGAAGCGGTCGAGACGCGCTTCTGAGTCTTGAATCCGTCCTCCTTACCCATCTTTTCACACGTGTGAAGGTGGAAAACGGCGAAGCAATCCGCAAAACACTTTGATCAAAGAGACATTGTTTTTGTCTTGTCTACTTGTCTTGTCTGTGCCAGAGAGGGGAGGAAGAGAGAAAGAGAGGGAAGCGGACAATCAATAGCTTTAGCTTTAGCCAAAGATTGAGATCGATGCGGACCATCAAGATTCATGTATTAATTGATTCGGATTGAAATTGCACCATAACTAAAATAATAGTAAATTTTGTATTTATGAAACAAAAAAGTTGCCAACTTTGCAGTTGCCAAAAAAGAAAAGCTTTTAACTTTGTCCAAAAAAAGCAAAAACCAAAAAAGTAAGTAAAATTTTTCATTAAAAAAAAGAAGAAGTGATATTTTGTCGCCGTCGGTAACTCCGGTTCCATTTTTTTTCGGACATTTTCCGGGAAAAGTTTAAACTCTCACCCTCTTTTCTCTTTTTGTAGAATGTTGGAACAATTTAAAGAGTGTTTTTAATCCTGGAATCTTTTGTCTAAGATAAAAGAGGTAGAGATTTGTGATCAAGATCATAAAGCATTTCTCGTTAGTTGTGTCCTCAAGAATTCAAGATTGCAATTCTGCATTCTTACACAATGTTACACAAACAGCCTTTCTACAAATCTGGATTTTATTTCAAACTAAATGAGCACTGTGAGGGTTCGTACATCAACTAAGCTCCAGTTTCTTTACTTTTCTGGTGTTAACAATTATGTATGATTTACGAGTGTATAACTACCTTTTTTGCAACGAGACGGATTCCAGCTTTCTGCTGATAGTCATACGGTTCCAGAGACAAGAATGCATCAAGAACACTTCCCGGGCTCAGCAACGATTCAAGCTCTTCAACGCCCGGGTTGCTGAAGATTAGCTTCTGAGTAGCTCCAGAAGACTCTCTCTGGTGTATCTCTGTTGCATACCGTGCTACATCTCCATTTATCTCTGTCGGTATACTGCAGACACCGAAGAAACCAATCAAAGCAAGAAATCGGGAATTTGGTATTGAAAAGATGGAAAACCAGATAGAGAGAGTTTAGTCAGGTAACTTACTGTATCCTTGCATTAGAGTAGTTTACGAATCCTTTCACAGGATTTATCACTGGGTTCCAGTCAGAAGTGGAGCCAGAATCAACAGATAGTTTCTGCGCATTACTGTCACATGCTTCGAGTATACTGCACAGACTTGGGTTCAGATCAACAACAAAGTTCAGCCTCCGTCTCCCGGCGTTGTCTAGAAACTTCCCATTGATTCCAAAACGTATTTTCAGACAAGAGCAGTAGAGCTGCAGAGGAGTTTCGCCATGGAGTAGCTTTAGTTTCATTATTTGGCTTCCAGGATAAAACGGGACAAGAATCGCTTTGATGTTTGGAAGAGATATCGCATCAGGCGCCAAGAATCCCTCATGGTCACTTGTATTCTCAGAGACAACAGTAGCAGATGGTTGGTTTTCTTCTTCTTCGTCTTCCATGAGAGTGTCTAATTGAAGGTGGTTGTCGGAATCCATTTCATTCCTCAGGAGGCTCATGTTAAACGGATCTGGCTCACCTACACTGTTCTCGCCAATGGATGGTAACGTATGAGAGCTAATTACAACACTACCCTCGCGAGAAGAAGATGCTTTGAGAAGTCTCCTTGAACTAGTAGTTTCTGGAGATACCGAATTATTTACAATTAACTCTGGGAGACTCGACTCCTGCGAAATGTAAAAAGCATTGCTTCTGATTAGTCCCACTTTTTAATCCATTTGGAGAGAAAGATTATCCATTTACAGAGTAACTAAAGAGAACATACCAAGAACAACACAGTGGCACAATATTTGAGAACCTCAAGATTCATTCTAACATCGTCCAGGCTCCTGAAGGAGATACAAAGAATTAGAGCTCAGCAGCTTTTGAAAGTTTGAGGTAAAGAAATAGATACCAAATGCTTATGCTTTTTGACATACCTATGCGTTTGCTTGCCGAGTCCGAAATATGTAGCCAAAGTTGCCATCTACAGAAACAAAAGCAAACGGGATAAAGACACTCAAATCACCTTGAAACTCAAAAAAGAAGAAGTTAAAACCCCATCATTCAACATTCTGAATGTTTGATTTACCTTCATATCACCAGCTCTTCGACCAAATTTCTGAGTTAGCAAAGCCAATGAGTCGATGGCGCCTTTTGGCTCAGGTGGTTGACGTCCAATCTCTGCAAATGCTTCTCTGATCCTTGCACAATCAAACCTCAATATGTTGTGACCTGCCCATATCCTCCCTGCAATATTATCCCACCCCGAACATCAATACAAAATGGGCAAAATCAATATAATATTTCAAAGCTTGAATCTTGGCCGTTTCTTTGATTTCAGAGCTCAAAGTTCAGGAAAGTTGAGCACTTTTTTTGCTTTCTAATTCAAACAGAAGCAAGCAATTTTAGAAAGGGTTTAAGAAGGAAGAAGAAAAGGGTTTTGATAAGTAACCATGGAGAATGTCGTAGACAGTATCAGCGATTTCGGAGAACAAAGGTGCCAAAACGACATCGTCACGCTTGATGCCGTTGCACCGCACGGACAAGGAAGATATGAGACTCAAATCAGCGGGTTGGACCAGAGTCGTGTAGCTTAGGAGCTCCGTAAGCTTCTTGGGGCATACCAGGATTGACCCGAACTCCAGAATCGCGAAACGTTCTCCCCGCTTTGGCACAGTCGTCTCAACGTCGAAGAAGGCAATCTCGGATCTATCATCTTCCGGATCCATGAAAAGAGTTTTTTTTTTTTTTGTTGCCTTTTCTTTTTAATGAAAACGGGTCGGGTTGAATCGAGCGGCAAATGTTAAAGGCTTTTAAATTTATTCGGAATCCTTAAAGGATCATCGAGGGGACTATATGAAGCTGAGGACCTGAGGTTACTTTGCCCAATTCGTTACGCAAAGTGAAAATCAGTTACTTTTAAGGTTTGTCTGGGTGGGTTTTCCAAAAGAAAAAGGTCTTTTTTTATCCTCAGAGGTTTCGGATTATATCATAGATTACTAATAATCAGAATTCACAGATCCCAATTGTTTTACAAGAGTGCTTTGTAAACATTCCTTGCCTCTTTCACATGTTTTTTGCAAGTTCTATTGTCCTTGTTCCCAGGTTGTTCCAAGGTTCTCTTCAACTATACACAAGAATCTTCAAAAGACTAGAGACAGGAAACATCAAAAAAAAGGGAAACTTACGACCAGAGCTCAAGTTTTTGTTTTCAAAAGTTATTTCCAAATTAAATTTAATTAAAAATAATGTTTTCTGTATGAATAAATAAATTGATCAACAAAAGAGAATTTCTTTCAAGTATAAATCAGGAAAAAGTTGTATATCATAGTCGACCAAAACTCATTTAAGTAGGTACATTGCAAGAAAGCATACTACCATTATGATATATTACAAGAGGTTAAGGGGTGTCACTTGACCCCGTATGATTAGACATGGATCTGCCTCTGGTGTGACATAGCCTTAAAATCACACAGCTACTGTCTCCGGTCTCTTGCTAGATTTTATTCCTTTTATAGCTGCAGATATTAGAAACGAGCAGACAATATGTCAGGATATCGCCACTAACAAGATCATGAGTAATTCACTTTACAAGCGGAGCTCTATACCTTCTGCGTAGTCTTTGGCTCCGAATACAGCTGATCCAGCCACTAAAGCATTTGCTCCAGCTTCAATAACCTTTTTAAACACCATTTAAAAAAAAAAAAAAAAAAAAAAAGAAGACTCATGATTCGGTATTCTTGAAGGCGCAAATGAATTCACTGTTTTAACATTATTCACCTTATAAGCATTTTTTGGAGTGACTCCACCGTCGACTTCAATCCACGGGTTTACGCCCTGCAGTGAACACCCAGGCCAATGATTTAAAGAGAGAAAAATGCTCCTGGTTTGGTTTACGGGTCTAACTTCTTCGGAGTTACAAAATAACTTAAAATCAAGCTAAGTAGGTAGATATATAATATACCTTCTCTACACACATTCTCCTCAAGTCCGAGATTTTCTTTACTTGGCTTTCGATAAAGCTCTGCCCACCAAACCCAGGGTTTACAGACATTATCAAGATCAGATCAACCGCTGATGGCAGAAGCAGAAGAAAATCCATTCAGATAAATTTTATCGATAGCTAAAGTGGATAATGTTCAGGATGGAAGCATTCATATGCAGAATCCTCACAGTCTAATACATATTCAATTGCACTCAATGGGGTGCCAGGATTAAGGACAACTCCAGCTTTAGCTCCCAAGCTTTTAATCTACAAGCAATCAAAAGCACGTTATCAATTAATTGAAAGAATTTTGTACAAGAAGCATTAATCAGGTGAAAAGATTCATTACTTGATTGACTGTACGATGCAAATGGATGGTCGAGGATTGCTCACAATGCACACTAACTATATCTGCACCTGCTTTGATGAAATCCGGCACTCTCTGTTCAGGTTCTACTATCATCTGAAATAAGAGAATCTAAAATTTACAGGTGAACTAAAAAAACAAAAAACATCACTAAAGCAAAAGGGAAGCATAAGCTTACAAGATGAACATCCAATGGAAGATCTGTCACAGGACGCAGAGCATCAACCACAAGCGGTCCAATTGTAATGTTGGGAACAAAACGACCGTCCATCACATCAACATGAATCCAATCACAACCTGCCAACTCTACCGCCTTCACCTGAGAGAAACCGAGAATGCAGCGAAATAGAGCAATAAACTGTTAAGCATCCCACAAAAACAGGAAGCCCTGGAAGTGATTTTCAAGGAGAGACACCAAACCTGTTCGCCCAATTTGGAGAAGTTAGCAGATAGAATTGATGGAGAAACAATGATATCGCTTTTCGAGAACTTGTCAACCCGAGCTGAGGCCTTAACAACACCATGAGTTTTTCTTCTAAAAAGTTCACATAACAAAACAACAATTTCGATTATGGTTTGGAATAACAAACATTTCCTCATACATGTTCGTTCAAGCATTTCCACAAGCAAATGGGGCACATTCATCTAATCATATACTCTATGAGAAACTACACTAAATATCCCTCAGAGTAAAGGGACAATTTTTTCGCTCTCTCTGATCATTCAGATCAATGTTGTAAATTTCTAGCAATCCATCGAAATCATCTAAAACTATTACCTGGAGGAAGGAAACGAAGTGGGCTGGCAAAGAAGCGTCCTTTCCGGTCTTAGACCAACTCCATTGAGCAACGAAGCAGCTAGGCTCGACATGTCCAATCGAATTGCAAAATTTTTCTATCTTTCCCAAGAAATATTCAACTCTCTCTCACTAGAATCCCTATATATTTGGTGGGCAGTGAGAGAAACCTAAACCTTCGATATCTCCGATCTTCTTCTTCCTAGACTCTCTAGAAACCCAAGGACCCGCCACGTGTGACGTAGGGGCTCCGGGCTCGTGGGAGATGTAAGCAGCTTATCTCCAATGCTTGGCTCTCCATTGCTGACTTGTGCCTCCCAATCACTCCCAATGGGCTAATTGATTTGATTAACGATTTCCATCCGATTGTTTTAGCTCTAGGGTTACTTTCGTAATTAACTTGTTCCCGGTTCATATGTCTCGGTCCGACGTTTTCCAATACTAATTAGCAATCATCGAACCGGATTCGGTTTGGTGTGGGAGAGGAGAGTTACATTGTAAGGATTTACATTACCAAAGCAATCCCGATTTTTTCAGACATTGCAAGGGTTCCTTATAGCAGAAATGTTTTTTAGATCTGCAGATTCTTTATTTTTTAAAGTGATCATCTATCTGCAGATTCATCTGAAAAAAAAAATACATACAAAAGAAAAAAAAAATCAGCTCTCAGATGAACCTAATTACCTAAATTAAATGAACTTATCCATTTATATATAGTCCGTTGTTTTTGCTAACTATGATTCTCTCTATGATAACAAGTAACAACGTCAAATAATATTTCCTTTTTTAGGCAAAAGTCTAAATTGCATAGATATTCCTCTTTCGGCAAAAGCATAGCGGTAATATTCCTTTTTCCGTGAACGTCTAATTCATTTTATCCGCTCATACAACATTAATTTCACACCCAAAAAAAAAAAAAAAATTTAAGTCATTGATGTGCACACAAAACAAAAGCTCCCATAAGTCATATCACATACACATATACGTACACACACATATATATATATATATATCAATGCATGGTCATCTATTAAGATTCGGTTTCGTTTGCAGACAAACTTTGCCGGGTCACCAATCCAATTCTGTTGCTCACTCATTGCTCTTTACCTTTTCATTTTTAGTGCTTGTGGACATTATAAGTACAGATAAAAGCTTATATTTCTGATTTACCGTAAAAAAAAATCAAGTACACAAAAGGTTAATTTATTCAGCATTTATTATTTTACAAAATAGTTAAAAACAAAAAATCCTGTCGCAAATCAAGTACTATTCGATCCACGTGATAACGTGGTTTCCTAATACTTAGAACATCTTAATTACTGAATAATATATCCAGTAACGCAGTTTAACAACTTGAAAAATTATCTACGAGAACCCTAATCATGGGCATACCAATCATGATACTAACTGGTCATACCTGGCTCAATGAGCAATTGACGAGTCATAGACAGATCATAAGAAGTTCTTCCCGTCGGAATCTAGTTCCGTTTTCATACATAAAATAATTGGGATGGTCAAGAAGACTTGACCAACCGGTTATGTCTCCAAAATTCATATTTTCTTCATCAACAATTTAACTAATGTTGATGGGAAGACGAACTTAAGGAGATCTTGATTGCAGCCACCAATGTTCTCAGCCTCGTCTTTGTTTTTGATGAATTGCCCGAGAAAATGTGAGAAATCTTAGTCGGGGATAATGAGACGATTAATGCTCGTACAAAAAATGATCAATATATGATGTATAATAATGCTCGTACCGACATAACAAAAGAATAATTTTAATTTTCGTTTCACTATAAATGATCAATATAGACCGCATGGTTTGCGGCCTGGACCATTTATTCAAAATGTGACGTTTCCATTTTTTTGGTATTTCTTTCGTCTTTGCAATTGAAAATCTAAATATATAGTGAAAACAAAAGATTTGCAAATATTAAATGAAAAAAAATGGAGTTGACAAAAAAATAATGGAGAGTGACCCTACGGAATTCTAACTTTATGTCAACATACGGGATCCCGCAACGTGGGGTTATATTTTACGGCTGCAAATTAATTCCTTCATTTTTCGTCTTTTTTTCTTTGCATGTGTTCTCATATCTATCAAAAAGTGGATTGAATATCCGAAACAAAAAAATTTGCATATTCGAACTTTATCTTGCGAGACAGCTGATTAAAATTTTGGATTTTGGCGTACTTATGGCCAACGATTTCCAAGAATACTGAACGTTGCAATTAAAAAAATTTCCTAAAGAGAAAAAATTGTCTACAATGTTATCTATTTATTTTCATCATTATCAAGCTCAGTAGTCTTTATGGCACTCTTGAATGCGGGATGAGGATATCATAGATATAGATTTGGTGTTTTAGCTATACGCACTTGAATCCAAATGAGATTAAGATATGAGAACTCTTAAGATATATATATATATATATGTAACTATTACGTATCAATACGTAATTATCATAAATCAAAGCAAAAGTATAGTCTGAGTTTTTGAAGTGTTGGAGAGGACGCGTGCATGAAGATTTGATTTAGGCAGCATGACAGGAGTTAATACAGATCAAAAACAAGGAACAACGCAGATCAAGAGTTGCTGAGCAAGACATACGGAGAGGTTTTTTATTGTAATATTTGGCAAACAGCTTTTGGAATAAGATACCTTTAGTGAAGATCTTATAAGTTCGATACTGTATCTTTGGTTGATATATATACTAGTTTTGTTGTCTTGCTCCTATATGCACGCATGTATAGATTAATGGTGATCAAGGCACTCAAAATCTATGTGCCACTGCTGCATATTAAGAGTTTATCAGGCAAAAAGTTTTATTGGTTTCCACGTTTAGATGACAAAAGACTGCTTGTGAATTGATTATGTGTGTTCAAGATCTAAATCGATAGCAAACCGAATTTCGAGAAGAAAAAAAAAAGGAATTAAGTCGTTGGCGAGCAACCACATAAAAACCAAAGCTCTCTGTATCACATACTACGAATTATAATGATACCATTGAATGTTGATTAAAGTGGCTTTGTTTGCATGTAAAATTTGTCGGGTCACAAATCCAATTATGCTCGCTCACTTATTGCTCGTTAGCTTTTGAGATGATTAACTATTTGTGGACCATAGATATACACAGATTGGGAACAGCAATTTTTTTTCTTGTTTGTTTTTATCTACCGGTACTCGTACCAATGTAGAATTGTTTTGCTATTTTCAGAATTTTATTGAAGAGAAAAAGATGGTGCGGTCTGCCCCACGTTTTCGATTACGAAATATCACAACACTTTATGTAAATTACATTAAAAGCAATATCAATAAACTTTATGTATATTCATCACTTACCACACAAGAAAACTTTATCAATTAATATATATATATATATATATATAGCTTTTGGTCTTCCGAGAAGTTGTATATGATCGCTAGATCTTTAGTTTTTAATGAATAAAAATTAGCGTCTAAATGGTCACTAAAAATTTTATCGTCTTGTTAAATATATTTAGTGGAAATTTTGATATTTTACTAAATTTCCTCAATCTTTCCTTAAGATATTTTGCTGTACCGTTATATATCTCTCTGCAAATTTGTTTATTAGAATAATAAATTGTAGTCTTTTTTTTTATTCTAATCCACTAGTTTAGTATTCAATTCATTTATTTTTACCTCATTGGATCATTCAATTAATGGTTACCCGCTATAATATATACAAGTGTAACTTATCTTTTAAAAAACTTCCGTAACCCAAACAAAAAAAAGGCTCATCTTTTAAAAAGATTCATCGACTTTATTGGTAAGGGATTTTCTGTGTGTGTGGAGATTCTCCACCAAAAACCTCAAGTGTGCTACATTTTTTTTCCAATATTGTTGGTAACACGGCTCAACTAAAATAACGCTCAAACTTTATATCAAATGATTGTAGTACAGTGAAGGCATGCATATGCAACAGAATTAGATTCTGGTTCATGAATTTTGTATTTAAATAAAAAGACATGTTAGAAGTTCATGCGACCTTTTTTACATAAAAAAAAGAAGTTTATGCGACCTAAAAATTCGTAATTTTTTAATCCTTGTTACGCTCGTCAATCCTCAAAATATATCCATATCATATATATCTACTTTATGACATAATGATATATGTATTGTAACTTCTTCTAGTACCATTTGGTTAAGTTATTAATTTTCCAAATAATGCTCGATAAACTAAATTAGAGGAATAGAGTTGACTGGGGTTTTTATTTGAATATTTACATTAAAAATATAAAATGACATTTTTGTGGTGAATAAATATTAAATTGACATATATTTAGTATTAATAGAAATAAAATATAAATCAGGAAATGATTGTTATTAAATATAAAGAATAATGCTATATAATGGAATTAAGAAAATGCAAGCTTTATTTAATATTTACTTTCCAAAGTCCACAAATATCGAATAAACTCGTGTCTCCCACAAATCAAATACTAATTGATCACGGGATCACATGGTTCTCTAAGTATGAGAAACCCTTATTGGATATATATAGTAACCCTATAGTGACCCTTAAGTATTAACTTGTAAACCATGAAATTAACCAGCCAACTGAAGTCCGGTAAGCAACCAACGGATCATATGAAGTTCTTGGCGTCGCAATCTTGGTTCGTGTCATAAACAAAATCGGAATAGTCAACAAGATAATTGGACCAACCGGTTATGTTTGGCATCATATTGTCTTCATCAACGCTTGTTGATGAGACATCAGACATAAGGAGATCTTGATTATATCCTCCAATGTTCTCGGCTTCTTCGCCTTCGTTGTTACTAAATTGCTCGAGAAACTGCGAGAAATCATATTCGGAACTGTTGAGATCAAAGTTCATGCCGTTATCATCCTTCATATGATCAATTGTGTGTTCAGATGGCTGAGAGAATGGATCGAATTCGTCCATATGAAACTGACTAGTTTCGGAAAAGTCATCAATGAGACATGGAGACAGTGTTGTAGAGCTGAGCAAGGTTCCTTCCATGGACGCTGATAAGATATTTCCAATGGAAGCAGCCCTAGTTGCAACTTTGTTTAACAGCTTTGAGGTCGAACTCGATCTCTGAAAACGGCGTTTCTTGGAGCTCAACGAACCATCAATTTTCGGTGTCTCATCACTGCTGCTTATCTCCGGTAGATTGCAGGAGCTTGAAGATGGAGGAAGAGATTTTGGAGACATAGAACCTGACTGTGACTGGTCATCCCGGTTTGAGTCGTCATCTTGGAACTCAGAAGTCTTGAGCGTGGCAGGACTAGTGTTAGAGGCAAGTGGCTTGTGGGTCACGGGATCAATACCTTGATCAATAAGGCGTTTTTTGAGATGTGTGTTCCAATAGTTCTTGATCTCGTTGTCTGTCCTTTTGGGCAAATGTCTCGCTATGACCGACCACCTATATTGAGGACGAAGAAAAGAAGAATGTATCAACACTTATCATGTGCAATGTGCCAACACTTGCAATATACTCCCCTGTTTCATAATTAGTATTTTTCTGGCAGTTTGACACAGGTGATTAAAAAACATGTCAGAAAGTCCATTATATTTTCATAAAAAATAAGTACAGTTGTTCATCCTTGGTATTTTGTTCCGATTATATTTTTGTCAACTATGACTTGAAGTTGAAATAGGTGTTTTGTTTTATAATTGAAAAAAAAAGGAGTTTTGTATTAGAAATGAAAATAAATGTTGAAACAATGCATAATTTAAAATTGAGGAAATATGAATTTTGACAAGTATATATTACTTGTTGCCCCGGGAAGCGTGAAGCATGATGATAATCTGTTCCTCCTCGTAGCTAAATTCTCCTCTCTTAATATCCGGTTTCAGATAGTTAGCCCATCGCAATCTACAACTTTTTCCACATCGTTTTAGTCCTAAACACCATAGCGATAAGAACATCAATTAGACCATATACATATAATGCATGTGTTTAACTATAAACGATACACAATAATTATGCATGTGTCTATGATGTACCAGCTTTTTGGGGAATGTCACGCCAGCCTCCTTCGCCATGTTCATGAATGTAAGAAATTAGTTTCTTGTCTTCTTCGGCGGTCCATGCTCCTTTCTTCAGCCCTTCTCCCACACAACATGGCTTTCTTGACATTTTTTCACTCTTATATGAATAAAATATTTATAGATATACGTACAAAATATAGAAGAAGAACGAAAAAAAAAAAGAAGAAAGGAAAGAAAAAAGTGTCGTCTAATTTAAGGTAAGAGACCAATAGATCTGTTGAGTAGAACTCTGATGCATCTAAATATGAAACTGACTGAGAAACTATGGTAGATTGTTGAATGATTATGTGTATTCATTTTCAGTAACATTTGAAAACGATAATAAACAAAAAAAAATTGAAGATATATCAAAGATCTAAGACATTGCTAGCTACTTCTCTACAATGAATAATTTTATATATGTATATGAGCAATATATATAAGCCCTACAATGGACACGTGACAATATACTTTTAAAAACCACGTAAAATAAACAAATAAATAAAAATAATAATAACAATATCAACTCGTCAAAAGTGTAGTGACCGTGTCTTTTTGGAGGTACTGGTACTGTTCAAATGGTTTGAGAGAGACTTATGGAATAATTTCGATAGCTAAACTCATCACACTGACGACCAGAAAAAAAGATCACAAATAATTGATATCATATCATTTTATTAGAGTTGATTTGGTAAATAACAATGGAGAACATTAAATTCAATAAGATTGCAAGTTTATAAGTTGTTATTTAATGACAAAAAGGTATAGCGAAGATTTAGCACGATATTTTATTAAATATACATTTAAAATTATATTCAAATGGATTCAACGTACGTAACATAGAACAATAAAATGAAAAAGAGTAAAACTGACCATGATTTCGTACAGATATATTAGATGTTAATATAAGAAAACAATATGTTATAAAAAATCATGCATTTTGTAACAATTAAATACTATAAGTAAAACCATGTCAAAAATGTTTGATGATAATTTTTTTTTATTGGACTGATGAAACACATTTGCCACTTTCTTAATTATGAGATCGTATCTATTATATTTTTTATTAACTAATCATCACGTGTTTGTTTTCAGCATCGGTCCTATTTGTTTGCCACTTTTTTTGGTCCTATTTGTTTGCCACTTTGGTTGTTTTTACTCAAGAAGCTGTATATAAAATTTAAATAAAGTCATTTGCTCAATTATTAATGTTCGTTCCTTCTCATCTCACATCTCACATCTCACTTTGGCCTTCTCTATTGTTTCTTTCTTACAACTCTATAAATCACTTTTTACAAAAAAAAAAACTCTATAAATCACGCCTCTTCAAAACTTGCAAGGTTAACTCAAAACAGTAGCACCACAGAAAAAAAAAATTACACATAGATAGCTATATAAAGACTAAAAGACACCATATATTGTTGCTAAAAAAAAGATACCAACCATGCCTATAGCGGGCACAATGTAAAATTGATCATTGTTACTTACGACTCATGCATATTAAAGGAATGTTATTCTTTATCGGAGAAAAAACCATGCAGATCAAAGTACGTTGAGTGGAGACAATGGCACGCACGCAAAATACACCGTGCCACAAGAGTCTCCGTTCATGGCAAATATGTTATATTCCAATACATTAATAGCATATTAATTACTCTCTTGGCTTGTTTTTGCTTTTGGGACTTGGACCACTAAATGAGAAAAATCCACTAACCTAAAAGAAAAAGGTATAATATAATAATTTTGGCATGTTATTTGCTTAGGTTGTCACTTTTTAAATAACTGATGTTGAATTTTTAAAACTTATAATATTTGGGGTTTTTTTTATCAGATGTCTGGGTGTGACTATTGATGGAATAAGATAAGTTCACGTTTAAGAAGATTCGATAAAAAAAAAAGATTTGATATATATGCTATATGGACTAACAAGGTAAATCCTCATCAAAGTGAAATCACTAACCGATTATCACTTGACCATATATCGTCATACAGAGTATAAGATTAGTAAATGATAGAAAAAAAAGAGTATAAGATTAGTATCATTTTGCATGACTTTGAACCGATGACAGTATTAGTCTGAATAAGTTTTTAAAAATATAGCTCTTTGCATGGACTTTTCGTATTTAGTTGGATTTAATTAGCTTAATTGGTAATTTCTGTGTCTGTGCACGAAGAAAAAGTGATAAATGTTAACCTGTTAATTAGTTTGGCGCTAGAATCGCCTTCTTTTATGGAAGTACGGGCAGAGTTCACCTGAACTATTCTCGGAGATGGTGTTACTTTGACGTTGCCTTTCGAGGATATATAATATTCAAATATAAAAAATGTCTTTTTTGCTATAAAAAATGTATAAAATGTCTCTTACAAATGTTTCAAATTTACGATCTAAATGTCATAAAGCTGACAACAAAAAATATTTTGCTGGAGACTTGTGATGAATAGATTCCGAGATAAGTGGAGACATATATGTTGACACTGATCCATTTTACTAATTATCATAATGGACCTGATCACGACTTTTGATGGTTAACGAATCTGGGTTTTTTTTTTAATTTTTGATTTTGGAATTATCATAGTGCTTTATACACTTACTTAATAAAATCAGCATATATTATCATAGTTTTAAGGATCTTAATTTTGAAAAAAAATTCATAGTAAAACATATTTTTTTTTTGCTCAACATAACTAATCCATAATCATTTCAGAATGAATGATTTATTGAAAATCAACTTTTAGTACCGTGGGAATGGGAAAGAGGTAATGAAATGTGATTTGTAATAATATCTCTCTAATATCTATGATCAGTCCAAACATCTTCAAAAAAAATTTGACTAACAAAGGACTGATAGATTGATTGTGGACCTCGATAAACAGAGCATGATTGAGACCTATAGACAAAAGCCGTAGCACCACTAAGGAACCCTAACAGAATAGAAAGAATAAATTTTAACCTAAAAACAAAGTGAAGAAATTATGGAAGGTGGAGCCAACGGAGAATGACATGCTCATTGACACTCTCGCATTTGAAAGGTTCATGTGTGGTTCTCCTGCTCGTCGATCTCTAGTTTTTTTTTTTTTTTTTTTTTAAATGATTCTCTTTTTCCTCTTTTCTAGTAAATGTTATAATTATTTTCTAAGGTAAGGATTACGGGATCTCTTCAATTCATTGATGATGATGCTCATCTTACCTCTTTTTTTTCTCCTGTCAAATTATCCTATACTATTCTGACTTAAAGAAAAAAGAGAGTAAACAAATACTAATATATGAGAACATTATTGACCAAAAAAATGTAATATATGAGAAAATATTAAGATAAGGTGACCATTTATACAATTAAAGCATCCTCTGTCTTTTACCAAAAAAAAAAATTGTTGAAAAAAATCCATATATAATTGAAAGTATTTGATCTATAACAATTTTTTAAAAAGAGTGATTGAATAGAAAATCATTTTCGTAGTAATAATGTCATAGTACGAAAAAAAAACTCGTGTAACTATTTAATTTGTGTTATAACACATATCATATATGGACTCTTATACCGGCCCATTAGGCCCATCAGGACATTGTACTTAACCTAGATTTCCTATGTACTCTATATATACATTCCAGTGATTAATAAAGTTTCTAAGTTTTCACAACACGTTATCAGCACGATAAGACTCTTTCCAAACCGTGAGGAACCAGAAGACGACCTACATATCAAATCGAAGCCCTCGACGAGACGAATCTACTGGTGAAAACCGTTTGTCGATCCAACGTCGGACGCGCCCTCACGCACATTTACAGTACACGACGATCAACCGAAAAAAAAAAACCAGATCCGAGTTTTTCCTTCTTCAACCAGCAGCTTCTCCAGTTTTGATGATCAATCCTTGGAATTTGTAGCGGCTAACTGAGGTCTATTAGCTCCCAGTTTCATTAGCCTGTCAGAAATCCAAAGGTGGAAAAGGTATCTTCTAAAACTGAGAGCCATAGAACCTGTTGTTTAAACACTTCAAAACCCTATAAAAAAAAAAAAAAAAAAAATCGATCTCTCATTGATTGAAAGTGTTTGATACTCTGATGATTGATTGATAACTTGTTGATTGATTGTTTAAATTACAAGTTTATGCATGTTCAAAGGTTTTAAACTCGTTTTATAAAACCCTAATCTACAAAAACCTAACAACCGTTTTTGGCCATGTTTATGGCATAAACCTATTCGATTTTCTTCATGTTTAATAAGCTTGTTGCAGCTTATTTGATTGTTGATTCTCTTGCTTGAAACACTTGATTGAATAAACTAAGAAAATCAACCCTAAATCCTAAGCTTGATTCACGATTTTGTAATCTTCAAAATCGTAAGTCATAATGCTTAAACCCTAGTCCTTTTCACGTGATTTCTTTGTTGTCCTTGTGAAATTATTAAAACCATCGACCACAGATCCTATAGATCTCGAAATCACATCCAAAATATGTTTTCCAAACCGTTAAAACCCTAGATAAAACCCTAATCATATTCGGCTCCCCTAGGGTTCCTCCTAAACCGCCTAAAACCGGCTAAACCTGGTTCTCATTAACCGAAATTATATTCGGCTTTAACCGATTAAATCACAGCTATTAAACCGACATCATGTTCGGGGTAACTAAAACCATACCCTTTAAAATTTACTATTTCCGAGAAAGTTCCCTCTAATAGAAAGTTTCCTCATATAAAAACTTTCCTCATATAGAAATTTTCCCGACATAGAAACTTTCCTCATTTAGAAAATTACCCAAATTAGAAACTTTCCTAAAATAGAAATATTCTCAAAATAGAAAGTTTCATCATCAGCATTCAAAATTTTCTCAAAACAATCCCTAACAAAATCAATCTCATGTTTCAGATGTCAAACATTCAGAAATGTGAATTCGAGGCCCTTCACGTCTCCGGGGATAACTACCTCGAGTGGGCCCTAGACATGCGTTTGTTCCTTGCATCGAAAGAACTCGATGCATGTATTACCGACGGTAACACCGCATCCCGTAAGGGACAGTCTCAGGCGATATGTCACATACGCCATCATCTGGCCCCGAGCCTTAAGCAGCAATATCTCACTCTTGAGAATCCACTTGAATTGTGGCAAGCGCTGAAAAAGCGATATGACCATCAGAAAATGGTCCAGTTGCCTCAGGCAGATTTCGACTGGAAGAACCTTCGGTTCCAGGACTACAAATCCGTAGATGATTACAACAACGAACTCTTTCGTATTGTTGCCATCCGGAAACTCTGTGGCGAGGATGTGACAGATAATGATCTCCTCGAGAAAACATTATCCACATTCAGCACAGAGAATGTTGTGCTCCAACAACAATACCGTGCAATGAAACACACATTGTACGAAGACTTGTTGTCCTGTCTTCTCCTCGCTG